TTATGAGATTACCGGATTCATCTGAATAGTTAGATACATAATGCCTGCAAAAAGAGGGATCACGAGATCAGGAACCTCCAATCAGATCTATCGATACTTACCCAATATATTCACCTTAATAACCTAATCGAATAAAATCTCTCTCAATTGTATGTATTTATGTTGGCGTCATCGCAAGATACGGGGCTTCCCCTAAGACTAAGACCACGAGGGGCTAGCGACGGCGAGGAGAAGGAGATCCGCGTACACCTCCTGGCTCTCCGGCTACCCCCTTCGAGGGCTTGGTGCCGCTTACAACAAAAAAATGTTTGACGCGATTGTGAACGTAGAGCCGAGTATGCCCCCGCATCTTGCGATAGCTCCGTGTTTTCCACATTCCTAGTTCCTAATCTCCCAAAACATAAAAAATGAACTCGGCCTAAACTCTTGTGGTTAATATGTGCAAATAACGATTTTGAGATAATCTCTCTTGTGATTAGCAGTTTTCAGATATGGTGAACAAGTAGAACTGGGTGGGGTTCATTTTACTACTACTAGACACTCGCAGCAGCCGTGTGATGGAAATAGCGATGATTGTGGCTGCGGTCATCTTACTCAACCTAATTCTCGGCTGCAAAAATAAGAGCACTAAGGTAGGCTAATTCCTTCCATGGCACTCCTGATTCAATGGTCAAATGAGGAATTAGGAATTACGGTGTCCCTTTCAGGTCTCAAAATCAACACCTTCACCAATGTCAAAAGGAAAGAAGTCACCGCAGACGGCGAAGCTGAAATCGATAAGGACTGGTGAAGAGGAAACGCAAATAGCAACCGAGAAAAAAGAACAAACTACGGCTTTGGCAACCGAAGAAACTCAGATAAAGCAGTCCTTAGAGGATGTCACAAAGAAGAAGACGATAGAAGATGGTAACAACAAAAGTAAGGACCGCGAGAAAAAGAAAGACGAAAAGGATAAAAAGAAAGACGACAAGGAGAAAAAGAAAGACGAAAAGGAGAAAAAGAACGTAAGTATTAGAGTTGCGCACTAGTAACACGTTAGTATCGCACATGCAAGCACGCCGGTTAAGTAAGAACAATTTTCAGTATGGTTGAATTGGTTCCACCGTAATCCACGTTACAGTGTTGGACATTAAAGGAATCTTCCACGGACCATGGACCAGTGGGCGGGACCGGAAGTGGTTTTGCGACGAAATGCATGGTAGGTACGGATCCACGTTCATGGGAAGGTTTGAAGTGAATCCTGTTCACGTTCGTGCGTTCGACACGTGGATCCGTACCTACCATGCATTTCGTCACAAAAACTTCCGGTCCCGCCCACTGGTCCATGGTCCGTGGAAGATTCCTTTAACCGGAGCATTCCGTGGCGACCCCGAGGTGGCCTCCTGAATTCTCACTGCATTTACCTCATCGCGTGCCCAACGAAGCTAACAATGTGCGCGTTAAGGCACGTTCCCTCACCCTCAGCCCAGGGAGCAAGAACGCACTTGCGTCCACAATTCCTTGCGCCTGAGTCGTACCGCCACACCCTACTTTTTGCAGCGACGGTATCCGTAGAGATGACGCCTACATTCTCGTCGTGGCTCTCGTCACGAGCGCGTGGAGGAAGCAACAAGAAGGTGCATTGAAAACACACGTTCGTCAATATCCGCGGCGATCCACCGCGAACTTGGTTACGGTGCAAACCCTATCCAACCGTACTGAGAAATCGTTCCTATCACCGGTTACAATTTTCAATGAAAATGAAGATACGGCTTACCGCACGTGCATCGCAAGCAGGGTTCATAGTTCGCGATCGCATATGCGATAGACGCTGAAGCGAATAGGCTGCAAGAAAAAAGGATGCGTATCGACTGGACGGGTGGAGGATTAGGCGACCACTCATTCGGCGAAGCAACCAAATCGATACATAGCCTTTTCTTCTGCCTACTCGCATAATCGCCAACCCATTCAATTGCTTGCATAATCGCCGAATCAATACGCATGCTTTTCTTTTCGAATATTCGCCTGATATAATGTGCGAGCGCGAACTATGAACGAGGCCTATGACAAGCATTGATTTTGCGTGCACACAATCAAAGTTCATTTCCATGTAGAAGAGGCGGTCAACAGGCGTGAAAGCGTCCACGCCCTTCCAAAGCCTTATCTTTAAGCCATGCGCAATGCTCCAGCCATGTTGGTATCTAATGCTCGATGAGATGGGCCGCGAAAACATTTACTGAGTGGGGTACTTGGACGTTCGCCATTGTTTACGCATCTTGTGTATCCCTAGCTGGCATGTGAGACGCTGCATATTCGGCAAGTTATGACCGATTCTAAGTATCGAGCTCTTGCCAAAGAGTTCTGGCGTATTGCCAACTATTCGGCTTTCACCATCATCGACACGGTGATGGAATTACGTACAATTGCCACACTAGCAACTGAAGCTTGGGGGCTTCAGTGAACCACACTTTGTCTACACAAGCAGTGTCATCGTGAAAGTGGGCTTTTCCAGCACCCAATGCCAGATGCGACAAAACTGCTCAGTCATCTCGGTCTCAGGAGTTCTGCCGACAGTAAGGCGAGGCGATTCAGCTTTTTGTAGTGCTGTGTGGGCACTCCCACACATGCATATTATTACAGCATCTTTTCTTCCTTTATGTTTCAAAAGGCTTAAACATGTCAGCACGCAAGGCGCAATGCTTTCCATCCACTACTCATTCTTTTGACTGAAGCCTTTAAAAGGAGGAATTCACGATTAGAATGAAGGTCGAAGAAAGGGAAACTGACCTAGTTGAGGGACCCACGGACCTCCTGAGGGTGCGAACTGACGCGCAATTCGCATGGAAAAATTTGACCTCGGCGACCTATCATGCCTCAAAGCTGGCGGGTCCGGCGATCTCCGCCCACCGATCATCTGATCACTCGCCGTAGTTCAATACGTGGCGAGTGATTAGATAGCTGAGAGAGCGTAGTGTTGAAGAGGGCACAGCGATGAGAGTCGCATCAATGCTCGAATCAACGGGCAAGGAAGGGGTCCCATTTCTCGGGTTCTGGGCCGTTTCTCATGGTTCTTCCTTCTTTCGTGTACCACTCACCATCCCTAGGTTAATTTGAAATGGGTTGCTTTTTCATCGTGAATTCGTCCTTTAGTGGAGCGTTCATAGTTGGCGATCGTACGTGCGATTAGGCGATGATTCAAAAAGAAAAATACGTATCGATTAGGCGAGTAGGCGAGTAGGCGATAAGGAAGGATACGTATTGATTTGTTGCTCCGCCCATTGAGCGATCGCCTAATCGCCTAATCGCCTACTCGCCTACTCGCCTACAACGTTCTATGGGCGGAGCAAACCAATCAATACGTATGTAGTCTTCCCCGCCTAATCGCCTACTCGCCTGTTCGCCTAATCTATACGTATATTTTTCATTATAGAGTTGTCGCCTAATCGTGCGTACGACCGCCAACTCTGAACGCTCCATAAGCGTTCTTCTGGGGCCGTATCCTATCCTTTCTCCGACTAGGGGAAAAAAAGTCATTTAAATTCATTTGTTTTCTATGACACTTCCCTTACTTTCCGCACCTGTTTGCTTTTTAACACTACACTACAAACTGCAAGCACTTCCCCAGGGCGATGTTTGTAGGAAAGAGAAAGAAAATTAAAAGAGTTTTCCGTCCCCAAGCCCAAGAGAAGGATAGGAAACCGCCTCTGCTTTATGCAATTGCGGCAAATTTGTGCGCGAAATCGCGCCCGACGAGCGGGAAATTTGCGCGGAGCGAACTTTTTTTCCAAGGAACCACGGAATAAAGAGCCAGCAGCCCGGTTAGGCTTTTGTTCAAAGTTGACGATTCAGGGGATTAGGCGATTCTATGGACGAGCACAAAAATATTCCTATTGGTGAAAGGATTAGACGATCGCGTGAATCGCTCAGAAGGCATAGTGAACGAAATCGATTCATTCGAATAAAGCCTGAACCTTCACCCGCTATTCTGGTTTTTTTTTTACCTAAGACTAAAGGTTCCGGCGTGATTGAGCGATCAAGAGGTCTCTCATTAGCGCAAGGTCTGCCTCAGTGCGTCGTTTTGCACCCTTCAGGGAATGAGTATGATGAAATGGTAACTCATTCCCTGAACTGAGTGAGTGAGTTCCAAAATGGCATGACACCATTAAACCAGTTCTATCCTTGCAATTAATCATTAAGAGCGGATGCTTCCCCGCACAATCCCACGATTTTAGGAACCGGCTCCAGTACTGGGCAAGGGCAAGAAAACATCAAAACGACCAAGAGCGACAAAGACTAAGAGAACCCAGGAAGGTAAGGAAGGACACTTCCTTCCCATACGATGAACACAAGATGTAAAACAAACCTCTGAC